GGAAAAGAAAAGTCACGCCTGACAGGATCGGGTCAGGGTCACCTCTTAAAAGCTTTACAAAGAGGAAAGAAAATAGCTTAACAGACACTTCAGATCTGACATACAGGTCGAAGTTGAGAAATGTCATCTCATTACGGACATGTGATGAACTCTCAAAGCATGTGAGCGTTAAGGAAGACATATGAACCAGAGCATTCAGAAGGCAACTAATCCAGACTACTTGTCTTTAAACTCCCTCTGATCACACTAAGCAGTAGCGTCTTTCCACATGATTTGCTGCCAGTAACCACGACTGACTCCGGGCCGAATGTCTCCTTTTTAGAGATAATTGGAGAATGTGTTCCAAGCTTAATTGGCAAAACAAGTTATGTAAAGCGAAACGGCAAGAGAAAAAGGGTGAGAACATGGGTACACAAATCTCACTCCACTGCATTGCCAGACCTTTCAAAAAGTTTCAAAAGCAAACACATCACTCGCTGAGTAACAGCTGGCGAGGTCCCGCAAACAAGATTTAGGCCACGCTTTTATATGTAAATGTTTACGTGGGCGGATATGTGAAAGAAGAGTAAACAAATGTTTGAGAAGCAGACAATATGCTGTTGGCTGACTCAACGAGGGGGACAGCACTGCTTTAGAAAACAACTAAGTATGTGTTTCAACATGTTTCATGACAGATTATGGCTGGCCACTCACAACTCAAATAAAGAGTTATTTTTTAATATTAATAAAAAACAAATGTTTAATTTCTTTACATTTTTTTAACACATTTTTGTCCGCATATTTTTTTAATATTACATCTACTTTTTCAATTTATGAAAAAATACATGTTGTTAGTTGGTCTAAATGAGGTCATTGTATCTCTGTTCTGTATTTATTTGAGCTTAATGGGTATGGGGGATTTGTTGGGTAGTGGGGATAAAAGAGGAATGTTTCACATGTTGGATTTAGGATTTTAAAATGTCCACATTTAAATAAATATATGTGTGTTATAACAGCAGCCTGGCAGTCCATAAACCCACATCTGTACATTCAAAATGTGGATTATCTGCTAAGGATTAATAGTGGCTGAATGATGCATATCTATCACTAAATCAATCATTCATCTCAACTTGCAAAGTCAAATCATAAAGATTGCACTATGAAGATCTGCTAGCTTCGACTCTTTTTGTGTTGAGCACATGTCAGCTCATGAGACATATGTATTTTGGTTGGAAGCTATAATGAAATGATTCTCTTTGAAGACAAGTGACTAACCCTAATGTCAGATTTGTGTCATAGCATGAGAACGCAAGGTTTGTATTAATCTCATGAAGAACAGTGAAAAGTAATCGTGTGTGTTTCTCCTCTGATTCAGACCCCAACACGTGTTTCTCTCCCAGCCCCCCCACCCCCCCCCCCCCCCCCCCCCCCCCCCCCCCCCCCTGGATCCTCAGCTGACTTCCAGCAGGTCAGCTGTGAGTTGTGTTGATGGTAAAGACAGGATGGGGGTAAATGGAGTTTGGGATAGATGTGTATAGATTTCGAGTCAAACATTCTGCTGATTCCCCATACAGCATGGCAGGTCGATGCGTCGGAGCGCTGCTGCCGCCTCTGCCAATGGCTCTATTGACTTCCAGTCGGCACATGACCATCTTTTTCTGTACACGACACATCTGCAAGACCACCGCTGCATAATTAAGAAAAGGTGTTGCAAAGGCATTCAAAAAGAACACTTGAGAGGAGTTCTTGAGAAATAATAGTTTTCTAAAAGCCCCACATTTAACGACTTTAATTCTCATTTAGTGATTTTTTTTTTACATTGCAGTTGGCTCAAGTGATTATTTGTTTCTGTCTGTAATGAAATATAAATACATAAAAGTCAGGATGTCAGATAACACTTTATATTTAGTAAAAAACCTGCCCTCTTACTGTTCACCGTATCTACTTGATGATCAAACGTTATTTACCCAGAATGCATGAATCGCCACAAACACCCGTGCCTTATTTTGAATGCTGTCTGCGCACACTGAGCCGAACATGCTGATGTGAAAACAAGCTTAAGATTGCTCCTGACCTTTCTGTAATTACCCGTAGAGTATTTCAGTCTCTCCAACCCTCCTGCCTTTGAAGGAGAGAGTACATTGTTCTCAGACAGCTAAACATCTGGAGCTGATGTGGCATGTGTTTGCTCCCCACCCCTCCCCAAAATAAAAACCTCATTGAGGGACACATGAACATGTTCTCCTTATTTTCTGGAAACTGCTAAATAGTGAGGTTTGGATTGTTGTCTCTATCCAGGTCATGAGCTGAGCGGATGCTTTAATCTTATGAGGAAGAAAGAAAAAATACGTCTTCAAATACGGGCCCGAGGGAAGGTCAACCAGATTGTCCTACAAAACAACACGTGGTGGCTGAGCCTGATAATTCCCAGCATCCTTTGAATGTGTCTCTCTCTGAGGGAAGCATTAACAGGTAGGCAAATAACATAAAGTAAGTTGATGATGACCTTTACAGTGACATCAAACGTGTCAAGCTGCACGTCACCTGGGATCACCATAACATATACAACATATCTGAGTGTCAGAATGACTAAAGGGAATTGTAAGTCATCTTGTAGCACAATATTGCCGCCTGATTGAATGCTATTGATTGGCTTTAGTGTTGCTTTGTCTCTAAGGCGAATGCACGATGCAAACAATTACGAAAAGCGTCCAAAAAGCAATGGCTATTACACAAACTGATTTGTTGCATTGCATTAGGCTGTATCATTATCTCAAAAGACAGAGCATCAAAGTCACAATAACAATATGAGAGTCATATTAGAGAGCCAACACATTTACAAAACCATCAGGACAACGGCATCATATTAGAACAACAATAACAGAACAATAACACTAACAATGGACTTAATGTGTGTATCTGAACCATTTGATTATGAGGTTCCCAAACCACACACCCACTTTGCCTGTCGGCATAAACTCAAGTCATTGTGTAACTTTTGGGATGGACTAACATCCTAACCGAAACAAGATGAAACCTTGTGTCAAAAACTTGGCGCCTACATTACCCTCAAGGCAACCTGACTGCTGAAAGATTCAGTGATTCAGGTGTTTTTTTCCATTCCCACACAGGCATATTTGTTTCCTATTCACTTGTTTACTTCAGTCAACAGACTTGCGTTTGTATGGTTTTCTGCTCTGTGACATGGTGCTGCCTCTCAGGGCTTCTGGTTCAGTGACTGCTGTTTGTCTATTGGGAACTGCCCTTTTAGAAATCCTCCTTCGGACTGATTTGTTTCCCTTCGGGGACACATATGTGGAGCTAAGCATGGATCATGACTGGAATTATTTTAAACTCAAGTTGAAAAGGTCGTTTTTTGTGTAGAAACATCCATATGCACAAAACATCGACCCATCTAGGGACATGCAATGCAAACGGGAGGCTATGAAGGTGTATTTTTGGTGGCTATTAATTGCTGTGACACATTGAGCCTGCAGGTTGGCACTTATCTCTGCAAGTGACGTGCTCACACTCAACTCAATATTATCTGTGTCACATGATGCTTAGCCCCATGCAATTATTCCTTTGGGTATAACCTGTTTAGCCCGAGAGCCACCGGTAGAGGAACAAAACTGTGTCTCAGGGCTTCTTAATATTTAAAAACCTATGAATGTGTCATACCAGATTAACGGGAAGAAACTCAGCTAACTGACAGTACGAACCATTTTTACCAAAACAAAACACAAGTCTCATAAGAAGCGTCTAAATGACCCCTGAGCGGAAAAATGCTAACGCACTTAGCACAGAACTCAAGGTAAAAATACCCTTATTACTTATCGTAACTGCACATACAAGATATCCGATTAAAGCTGAGATTCCACAGATTATATAGGTATTAGTATCATCGCTGAGCGATCAGAACTCGCGACAGGGGAAGCAAACACAGACATCACAACACGTAGCATTACGGAGCAAACACATTTAATGAAAAACAATCTCTTTTTTTCTGAAACTAGAAAAAAGTGCAGCCAATTTCAAATAATAATACTAATACATATTGCATATACTGCTGATTATATTTATCATTAAAATACATACTTTTTTTTTAATCATATTTTTTATGAATTATTTTAAAATGAGAAATAATTAAAGCTTCACATTTAATTAAGTGTAACAGGTGACATGTTGCCCACTTAGATCCAAAGAGTACCTAAGTACTGCACTTAAGTGGATGCACTGTTCTTGTGGTTCAAGCCCTTAATAAACAATGCAAATAATATGCAAATATATACATATAATTAGCTTTAAAGACAAATGGATCTGACAAAAAGAGAAGCATGCAGTTATAAAAAGTGTAAACACCCAAAGAGAAGCCAACAAGTAGGGAGTTTACAAGCAACAGCAACAACTGCAAGCTCGCTGACAGACAGACGGACAGACAGACAGGCAGAGAGGTGGGTAGGGAGACATTACTGCCCGTCAATGGACTATAATGGGAATGCTTTACAGCCCCATGTATAGGTGGTCCTAATTATATTTTGCTTATTGCAGGATGCTTTGCTGGAATCTCCTGAGTCCATAGATTGGTCTCTTATTGCAACAAATTAAAAAAATAATATCAGAGAAGAGGATATTTAACTTAGCATCAATGTTTCTGTCCTGCTTTTAATTCCAATGGAGCACTGCAGAAGGATGAAGAGGAGGAGGAGGTGGCTGAAGGGGGGGGGGGGGGGGGGGGGGGCAACTACCTTAACTCTCCTGTGCTTCAGCTGATGTAATACTCTCAAACAATGGAGTATAATAAAATCGATAGGAGATGAAATTGTGTTCAAACCACTTCCCTTGTCTTTTTTCTTTCAATTGGAGATCTATTTCTGCAAAGGGTTTTTATATTGGAAGAACAAAACAAAAAAACGTCACGCACACATGCGCATATAGGGTGCCACACTGACGCATCGTTTGTTGTATAGTCAACTGTTTTTTTTTTCTTTGCTGGACTGAGGCATGCCTGTAGCGGATTATTGTTTTTACCGCATTCAACAGTGTTTTCAAAGCAAGGGGCGAAAGTCAAGGCTGTAACAGTGGAGGCTCACATACGGAGGGAGATCCGCTAAAGTAATGCCGTTTATCCCTTAAGAACTGAAGGAGGGGGGGGGGGGGGTAATTCATGGCAGTGAACGGAGGTATCACGATCCTAATGTGAAATCTCACCAGTGTTTTCAACGATGCGGACTTGGACACTTTTACCATGGAGCTGCAAGAGTAAAGAATAACAGTAGGAGTCTAGTATCGTGACAGAAACCTTTTTTTTTTGCTTTAAAGTATGATTTAAAGAAAGATCGTCCCTGTATATGGATTGATTTTTTTTTTCCCCTTGCTCTCGCTTCTCAGCATTCCCTCAGTCAGTCGACGGGGTTTTTGCCATTACAGCTCAGTAGAGGGTGTCAGATTATTCTTAGAGCACCGCGCTAGGATGAACACTGTCTCTGCGTTTCTCCTTTTGTGATTCCCAAAACCGCCACAAAAGGGGGGGAGAGACGAGCGAGGCAACACGCCGAAGGATGTGAGGGGGGATGCGGGTGTTTTGCAGCGGTGAGATCGCTTCTAAAGCTCCAGCGCACGGTGTGAATTCAGCACCAGCGGAGAGGGGACAGCTTCAGACGCCGCAACACGCAGCAAGACTGGAGGAGAAAAAAGGCACGGATTTGTTCTCTTTTGCTCTGCCAAGGTCAGTGTTCAACGAACTGAAAACAGCCGAAAGATGTGTTGGACTCTACTGTCGCCCGCTGCTTTCGATTTTGATCATAAACACGCTCTGAGGATTCAGTCGATGTGAAAAAGACGTTTTTGTGGGCATTTTCAAACTGGAAATCTGGACACAAGCGCAGGTTAGATGCAGCATGGATCTGTTATAAAAGATTGCTTTATCTTCTCCCTAAATGTCTCTATCTACCATTTTTCCTCTCACTGATGTAGACTGAATTCACAGCTCGTATGTCTTAAAACCGGGAATGAATTGTCCACGTTGAAAAATGCTGCTTTGGATTGTTCTGCTGAATGCGGCTCTTTGTGTTGCTGGTGGAAATGTTACAAAGGACATTTGTAAGGACCAGATATGCTCTTGCAACGAGATCGAGGGAGATCTGCACATAGACTGCGAAAAAAGGAGCCTCACCACTCTGCAGCATTTGACTGGCCCGAGCTCGCATTTTTATCACCTGCTGTTGCACGGAAATTCTCTATCCAGGCTATTTCCCAACGAGTTTGCCAACTTTTACAATGCTGTGAGCTTGCATTTGGAAAACAATGGCTTGCACGACATTGTCCCCGGCGCCTTTCTGGGACTGCAGCTGGTGAAAAGGCTGCACATCAATAACAATAAGATACGATCATTCAGGAAGAGTACATTTCTGGGGTTAGACGACTTGGAATATCTCCAAGCTGATTTCAATCTACTGAGGGATGTTGACCCCGCCGTTTTCAGGGACCTAAACAAACTTGAAGTGTTAATACTTAACGACAACCTCATCAGTGCGCTACCTATAAACGTGTTTCAACATGTGCCCATTACGCATCTCGACTTGCGGGGGAACAGAATCAAAACGGTGCCTTATGAGGGGGTCCTTGAGCAAATACCGGGCATTGCGGAGGTTTTGTTGGAGGACAACCCATGGGACTGTAACTGCGACCTGGTTTCTCTTAAGGAATGGCTGGAGAACATACCGCATAACGCTCTTATTGGGAGGATGATATGCGAGGCTCCCACCAGGCTGCAGGGGAGCGACCTGAACGAGACATCAGAAGCGGACCTGTGTCCTTCACAGAGCGGCAGCGTGGACACCAGCCTGGTCGCCCCTCCCACCCAGGAGGAGGCCTCTGAGAGCGAGGCTCAGGTTCCGCGTCCCACGCCTTACAAGCCCAGCAGAGACACCAGCGGTCCCCCGACGCCTGGCCACGGAGCCAAGAGCCGCTCCAAATCTCGTGAGAACTGGCAGCTGAAAACGAGGCCAACTCCAGTGGTGTCAGGTGAGAACGGGGACAGAGAGCTGCCTCACAACATGACGTGTCCCCAGCCTTGCAAATGCAAGCTGATCGGCACCAGACAGGGCCTGGGGGTCTTGTGCGAGGGCAACAAGATTGAAAGCTTATCCAACCTCAAGCCTAAACCCCTGGCTGCACACGAATTGAACATGCGAAATAACAACATACACGCAGTGAAAAAGAACCACCTGCTCGGCTACACCAGCCTCAATTTGCTTGATCTGGGGGGGAACAACATCAAGGTGATTGACAACAGCACTTTTATAAACCAGAGCGAGCTCAGATGGCTGTATATGGATAAGAACTATCTGGATACGCTGATAGCAGAGATGTTTGTGGGCCTCGGGAATCTGGAATATCTCAGTTTGGAATACAACGACATCCAGATGATAGTGGCAGGTGCATTCAGCCCTATGCCTAATCTCAGGGTCCTGTTCCTCAATAACAATTTGCTGAAATCTTTACCAAACGATGCTTTCCTTGGGATTTCTTTGTCCAAAATAAGTCTTCATAATAATTATTTCCCCTATCTGCCCGTGCCGGGAGTGTTAGACCAGCTAAATTCAATCATACAAATCGATTTGCACGGGAATCCGTGGGATTGCTCGTGCAACATCGTGCCCTTCAAGCAGTGGGCGGATAAACTCGGGGACGATGTGATAGTGAGTGATCTCAAATGCGAGTCACCCGAAGAGTTCTGGAAACGAGATTTCCGCCAAGTCCGGAACGACCTCATGTGCCCTAAACTCCTTGACAAAGTTTCCCCCACACCCCTGTCCAAAAACAGCACTTTCACCCAGGACTCGGGGACGCGCTCGAACTCTTATTTGGAGCCGAACAGGGTCTCGATCTCTGTGCTCGTCCCCGGGTTGCTGTTGGTGTTTGTCACGTCCGCTTTTACTGTCGTGGGGATGCTTGTGTTTATCTTGCGGAATCGAAAGCGATCAAAGCGGAGGGACGGGAATTCCTCCGCCTCAGAGATCAATTCCTTACAGACAGTGTGTGACTCGTCGTATTGGCACAGTGGGCCTTATCACGCAGACGGGGGCGCGCACAGGGGCTTCGACTGCAGCACGCACCTTTCCACGACAAATGATGCGTAAAGAGACTCTGGGTCTAGTACAATGAACCCATACCGGACTGGATTACAAACATGTCATACAGACACACTGATGCACACATGACTGCAAATCATCCAGCTTTTGTTCGTCAGTGGCGAACACAGACTTGTTTATGTCTTGTATTCGCCAGTTGAACCAAGTAAATCAGTCTGCTGCTGCTCAGGCCCCACTCTGTAATATATGTATATGGCAAGCCCCCTGGCTTAAACCCCTCCCTCCCTCCTCCTCCCAGTTCTGCTATTTGCCGCAATCGGACTACGGATATGAGACAGAGAAAAGGGAGAAAAAGAAGCGAGGGAGAGGGCGTGTGTGTGTGTGTGAGAAAGAGAGAAAGAAAGAGAGAGCGAGAGAGAAAGCAAAGACCGAGGACCCAGGACATGGTGCACGAACGCATGAATGTAAATGTAAATACTCGGACCGATGTATCATAATCTGCAATGCATGATGATATTTCGCATGGTTTCAACACACACACGACGGCGAGGAACCATAACCACCATAACCAACAAAGAAGCAAACTCGACCCTTTCATGTTATATCAATATGACGACAATATATAGATATTAAGAATTATATATGACTATTACAAAGTGCCATTTCTCTATTTTTTGTGAACCTGCAGTCAGGATTTGTATTTGTTGTTTTAAACTTGTTTGAAGAAAAGAGAAAAAAAAATTAACTGATAACAATGACTCTCGGAAAGGAGTGATGGAAGTGCTGTCAGTGCATGTTATTTTCTGTTTGTTATCATTTGATTGTCGATAAATATTGGGGTTATTTATACCGTACTAGATGGTGCAGATTAAATCCATGTCTGCGCAGTCATCATCTCCTTTATGAATGTAAACTGTGTTATTTTATGGTGTGCCAATTGTTGACTTTCAGATATTCAGACATGCAGATGAGCATGACCAATTAACGTCACTCAGATGCTTATGCTGCAAAGTTAATGTAGCTAAAATAACAGTTCTGTGGTTTTGTGTGTCAATGAATATAGCCTGCTTTGGGTGAGAGGAAGAAAAAAAACAAGTCATTTAAAATGGGGGGTTTATACCATCATATTTTTTCAACAACTGAGCAAAGAAGTGTTTTCAATCGAGCTATGTAGGTATAATTCGATCTATGTAAACAGCGCAGGTAGACTGATATAGACTAGAATGCTTTTTTAATGTCAGAAAAAAAAGTATTCCTCCACATAAAAGCTTATGGCTATGATTCACTTTCATTATGTTGTGAGCTTTTGTAAAGCCATCTAATCTTGTCCAAATAAGAGAATTGAAACTGTATTTACTACAACATGTGCTTGAAATAGGCTGTTTGGGGTGTGGGTTTTTGCTTTCTAACAAACTGGGGCCATGACATGGGAAGAACTCAGCATGTGGCCAGACACAGGAGTGTATCTCCTTCACTAAGGGGATTACAAAAACACACACACACACATAGGCGGAGCTAATTTGATAATGCAAGATGCCTTTTTCAAATCAGCATTTTGAACTTGAGATACTCTTCTCGAGGGGGTAGCATGGTTTTTGTGGGCTCATGAAAACAATGCCATGACTGAATACCTGTTTTGCAGTGCTTTGCTGCTTATTAGCCTATACTGCTTCAAAAGAGCTTGGATTTGGATAAACAACTAAAAGATTAAACAGTTGGGGCACACTTCAGTCTTCACAAATTTCTTCTCTGCAGTGTCTAAAACAGATGCAAGGAATGTGCAATTTTCTTTTGTCTAACAATGAAATATTCTATTGCCGCTGACATCTTTTTGTCTGTGCATTTCTTTAAGAAACCTACTCTAGGATGCCTAATTCGGACAAGCTTTCTGTATCATTCGGCAACAATTCTAACATGCCATGGCCATGATGAGAGTGTACAGATGTTGATGTGAGATAGGGTTACACCCCCAAACCCCCCCTCAGTGCCCCCCCCATCTTCCCCCTGCTAGTAGGACTACAGTATTTCCCCCAGTGTGCAGACTAGCATTGTCCATGGTGCTGAATCACTTCTCCCCTGCTTTCTTTGTCTGCCTGCCCCATGCTGACTGTGTGTGTGTTTGTGTGGGAAGCCTGCAGAGAGAGAGAGAGAGACAGAGAGAGAGAGCTAGCGTGACAATATGCATGTCTGCCCCCTTACTTTCCCCACTGCCCCCCCCCCCTCCCATTAGCACCATGTAACCATGTGCAGCTTGACCTTGGGGACTAACATTTCAGCAGATCTGTGACAAACACTCATCATCATCACCTCCCTGCAGTTCTGTCCCGTCACCTTGCTCCCCCCTTCAAGCCCCGTTTCCCCAATTTTCTGTTTAATCACAACGGGTGTTGGTGTTGGTGGAGGGGAGTGGGTGGTTGTGGGTAACTATGTGTCTCTTCTGTGGAGTATTACCGTGCCACAGCCCACTGATGATTTGTCATGATTTTCAAACGCTGTGTTTCAAAGTTACATTTATATGCTTTGCGATATTTGACCTGCTTCTATTTTGTTAAATAAAGTGTGGTTGAGGTTGAGTAAAAAACAACAAAAAAACACAACAATGTTTGCTTTGAGGTATTTTGATTGTATTCGAGGTGGTGTAATGGGACATGTGACAGGTTTGATTCATGGTCTGTTCATATTGTTTAGCATACCTAATATACAGAAGGGGTTACATATGCTAACTTCAAGTACCTCTTTGTCCTTCAATATGGAAAACGGTTCAAAATAAGGTCAAATTCATGTCATTTGATTTACATACACTGTAGTGGAGGAACATTGTGTTGCATTATCATATCATATTATTTTTAGACTGTTTTATTATGATTCTTGGATGCTAGTTCCTTGTTACCCAGGAGGGAGAATGACACATTTAGACTCTTGCTGCAGTGCGTATGCAACCCTACAATCCAAGATGGCTGATGAGTATGACAAATATTTTACAATAATTCCAAAAGTTGTGCATCAGAAGTGAAAAATGTTCTACATAATGGCATTGCAGACGTCTATGAGGTGAATCCTACCACTCTTATTGCATACATGTATGGACTACACCTACATATAATAATATCAAAGCAGAGTGCTCTACTTTTTATAATATTAGATAATAGATAAACAAACATTCCCTCTGCTTGAATCCATTAGAGATTGCTTTCCGTCAGGTGTTCCTGTGCTGTAGGTCTGTGTGACTCGCTGGCTAACAGTAGGACCTATTCATTAATGCGATGGATAATAGCTGTTGGAATCGCAGCGGAGAGGAGCAGCCTTATTTACACGCTGTGCACACAGCACTCCAACACTGTTATGGCCCAGCAAGCCTGCCGTAGTTCGTGTGATAGTCCCCCCCCCGAGGAGCTGGCAGTTGATGCAACACTTCCAGCAGAGATAACATCATCTGCACACCTCTTACACTCAGCTTCGGTGTAAGTCTTTGGTTTAATGTGGGACATTTAATCCTAGGGGTATGGAAGATAGCTTGTGTTCTGTATTTGGAAGCTGTGCCTTTTTTTTTTGCTTCAGGGTTACTTCTCTGCAAACTAAAAACAATGTACCCTGTTTGGTTAGTCATCGGTTGGAATGCCCATTACAGCTCGAACACCCACTACTACCATTATGTCTTGTTTTTGTGCTACATCAGGCACATCTCCAATTCTTTTGTATTGCATTGTGGTTTTTTAGGCTGTTCCTTTGAGGCAATATCTGGTCACAACATCCAAAGCAGGTATTAGGAACAAATTGTACTACAGGATACAAACTCAACCCAAAACACGGTCTTTCCCTTTAATTAGCGCTAAAGCGTCAGCGGCTAGCATTTATCTGACTCCCAATGGTCAGATTCAGTGTGTCTGCTCTTGTTTGGGTTTTGTAATCAAATCCCCAAAAGCCTTTTTCAGCTTGGGTATTATCCTTTGATGATAGCTTTGAAGAAAGTCCCATGTGTTGCACTGAAGGCTTGCCAGTAGTCCTGCACTTGAAAACTCTGCAGCCACTGAAACCCCTTGCTGCTGGTTCAAGCCCATGGGTGTGTGTAATAGTGATTATCTTTCACTATCCCAAAGGATTTCTTGGTGCTACTCCCAGATATTTTTATTAGCCCATCCACCTCCAAGTACTTAGCCTATAAGTCTCAGTGGTTGGGTTTTTATCAGTAGTGATGTTCTTTGTGAGCCACAATAGTAACTGTATGGTCTTTAGTGATTGTGAACCAGCACCGCTGATGGAGTTTTTTGTTAGCTTAAATGCAATAGACTGTTGAACATGACAGGAAACACAGCAGGCATTCACGTGTGCAATCACTGTGCTTGGTAATATACCATTCAATTACAACCACAAATGAAAATCTTTAGGGGTTAAAAATGTGTTTTTCCCTGCAGTTTGATCAATGTTCTCTTTAAATGCAATCACTGCAAGTCATTGTTAGGGTGGCTAATCAGTCTAAAATTGTTGTACGTTTGCTCGAAACAAGAGAGAAAAGGTGGCACTTTAGTTTATTTCCGCGCTTGCAACAATACTATTACTACGGAAAGTTACCTTTGAAGCAGCTCTTGGAGTTAACGTGGGCAGGTAAATCAATCAGAACAAAGAGATTCAGTTATTTCAAACTCAAATTGCCAGACAGACTACAGAGCACAAATCCAGAGTAATTAAAAGATTCTCAACTCATAATTGACCCAGATCTGGTGTCAACCCACACCTTTAATCAAGATGAGTGAATGGTCTACCGAGCTACAACTGCAATACAAAAGGGGGTTTGTTTGCAGTCATGAAGTAAGGGTGTAGATTGGTTTAGAAAGACTAACTCCATTTGAGACTTATTTCAAACGACATAACTCCCCCTTATGGGTGGATGTATGGCCATGCACATACTCCACAGCTTGACACCGAGGGTATTAGACATTTTTAATTTCCTGAGGCTATCTTGGTCTGAACCCAAAGAAACCTGCCCTCCATGCCTTTTACAAGTATCTGGCTGATCAGAGAGAAGATTGTAACTGGTGTACTGAGCGCTCAGAAAGTGAAAAAGTCACATTTATGGGATATATAGCTGCCCTTTATACATTATTATATGTGTACACAAGGCTCTTCTCCTCTACTAGAAGTGGCTTTAAGGTGCTTGATGGGAGACAATGATGCTCTGAAGTTTTGACTTTGTGGATTTTGAAAACTTGACAAAATGATAATTATTATATCAAATAACATTACTTATATATGCATAATGTAACACATATTAACCTCTATTTGTTATTCATGCCAAATAACACAAATTAAAAGTTACAAGTCTAACTTATCAGTATTTGTAGAAAATACTTACCTTTGCCACCATTTTAGAGCCAACTTTATATTAGACTCCTTAGCACTGTAAACTATCATGTATAAACTCATCATATTTTGAAGCTTCGAGATTTGAACTCTTAAAGGAAGGACATTTGCATTTCCACACACTGTGCTACAGCTTCCCTGCCATGAAGCAGACACACAGCATGCATTGATATGGTAAATGTGTGATGTCAACATGATGTGACATGTTGACCGGTGGCCGTATGTGCACAGGATGAGCACATACGGGCTTAAGCCCTATAGGAGACTCTCAAACAGAGAAGCCTTTAAGTCCAACTGTGCACACAGACAGGTGACTCAATTAGATATGCATTGCAAATCACTTGCTATTCAGCCAGAGATGAACATGATCGCGCGTCCTTGACGTCTAAACAGGGCTTTAGATAGAGGAAATGAAATCTTCTATTCAAGGGGGATTTTTCCCGCGTGAACGGTGAATGGAAAAATTCATCCCCATTTCATTCCCCCCCCCCCCCCTTACTACAATGTACAATGTAGACTCGGCTCCATTCAGAGGGATGCTTTTTTGATTTCTCTCTCCTTTGTCACTCTTTGACGACTGGCAAATCGATAGCCTCCTGAAGACAGGGTTGGGGGAGGAATTGACTTCCTTTACACCCACTCTATTTAGCTTGACAGTTTGTGGCAGCTCGCAACAAACACATTATCATCCCCCGTCATCAACAACAACAGTCCGCAAAAAGAGAGGACGAAAAAAACAAGCGCTGACGTCCCTGAACTTTCCTGGCTGTGATGTGCGTCAGAGAAAATGTGTATCTTCATCCCCTTTTGGAGATATTTTGTGTGTGTGCAAAAAAGACTGGAAAGACTTGTTCTGGTTGCTGCTTTCGAAGAAAAGTTACCCGTCTTCCTATGGCCTGAAGGATTAATTTTTTTCAAAACAAGAGCATTTTCTTCCTCTCTCGCTGTTCTTCTTATATTCAGTTTTAGACAGAGTGTTGAGTTGTTGCTTAGCACCTCAGGCTATGAAGCGCCGTGTTGCACTAATGTGTTGGTGATAAGGGGAAAACGGTTTGTTGCAGTGAAACACGTGACGACACATTTAGCAAGCGTTTTGGAAAATGTCACTGGCAATTAAACCATTGTTTGATGTGGTGGAATTTATTTCACGGCTATTTCTGGCTGCCGGCTGCTATTTGACCCTTTAAGGTTTGAAATGGCATTTTGCAGATGTTCCTCACCATCTACAGATAACCTAACAACGAACATAAACAAAATGCTCTCCCTCTTTCTCTTTCAGATGCACAAATACACATGCATGCTGGATAAATAGTCCTTAACCTGGCGTACTACAACCGCTCAGCAAATGCCAGCTGGGTCAACAGATGCCCTGGGCATTCATTCTAGCCTGCTCTCAAACCAAGATGGACCGCTTCATCTAGAAACACAACTAACACACACATAACCATGCACATGCATAAGCGCATGCCTGCACACTGAGCTCTACATTGCAGAGGTCTAGAAGCAGATTACAGAGGTTTTATCTTCTCGCTAACTGCAGCAAGAAGAGAGGGTCAAAATGAGTGGCTCTGGGATATGGCTGTGGATACATCTCCTTGATTTGATAGAGAGAGAAGCGTTACATAGTATGAATGGTAATTGCATAATGTAAGCAGAGGGATATCACGGTTTACAGGAAGAAGGCACTTTGCTATCAAAAGGTACAGCATTAAAGATAATAATACCTCCTTTGTAGACGGACAAATGCACCATGTATGAGGTGATGCAACAATTGAGGTTTGAAAGACACAATAGACAAAGCTCAGCTCTCAAATGGCTGCACGTAATCTTAAATAAAGAAAACCTGGCCTTGTCCCAGTTCTCCCTATCAACCGCCTCCTTGTTTTGAGTCATTGTTAGTTTGGGAAACCCTCCAAAAAAGTAGGTCCAAGTAGTAATAGTAGTAGTGGTGAAGCAACTGCACTATGGGATGAGTCTCCACCGGTGACTCATATCTTCAGGAGCCAGGAGTTGGAAAGAAACTGCATATAAAAAGCTTACTTTGGACGAAGAGGTATGGCATAGCTATGTTTTGCATCAACCTGAGAGACAAAAGTTTCCTCCAATGAAACATTTTTTTCCGCTTATTACACTAATAAAAGGTGGATTTTTCCTCCCATTTCTATCATTCTAATTACAAACCTTATCCCATTTTTGTCCATTCTCAGTTTACATTGTTGATAAAGTTCTAACAGAA